AGTCATCCTCCCACTGATGGTCTTACTCCAAAACTTTCCTTGGGTTTGGTGATGAGTGTGCCATCAAGGGGAGAATCAATGGCTTTATTGAAATCAAGGAGCCGCAGTAGAAGGACCTTTGCTCATTCACCTAGATCAGGAATTTGTGTGTGTGAGCTCATCTATGTTTTAGTGTTCTTTAGTGATGATTCCTCTTTGTAAGAGTTTAGGAAGAAACAAAATCCTGACATTTCTAAATAAACTCTTCAAATCCTATTTTTCACACTGACATGTAATGACAGTGACTTTGAGAACTTACAGAGGGAATATTCTCCATGTGGAGAGAGATTTCGCCTGGAAAGTTTTCTAAAATAGTAATTCTCAGAGAGCTCAAATTGTGTCACTGGTCACTACAGGAACAGGTGAATCAGTGAGTAGTCTGTGACAAGATATGGACAAGGGTACCTGATGGCAGAATTTCTTAGGATGAGTGAGCTTTCTTTCCTTTAATCGATTCCATTGGCTGGGAGATTGACTAATCCCTGCTTTAGCACATGAATTGGCCCCAGCCTCTGATTATAGGAACAGAATGTGTTCATCACCCAGCATTCTTCCAGGATGATTCTCCATCTAAATAATCCCTTAAGGTGGGTGGAGGGTCTCAGGACTTCCAACATGGTTCGATGTTCACTTCTGTTCTAGCTTTAGGGCAGTCAGATAAAACACGGTAATGAGAAGTTTGAGTCAAGAACTAAAACTGTTGGGGAAGATAAGAAGTATTTTTGATTTATATTCCAAAGAACAGCATTGCCTAAGAGCTCATCTCTGGAGCAACTCTCTGGGTTCAAGTTCCAACTAAAGCACTTTCTAGCCCAGTAGGACCTTGGGCAATTTCTGAATCTCCACATGCCTCAGGTCCTGTCTTGTAAAAGGGGGATAGAGGTAGTACCTACCTCATTGATCTGTGTAGGGGATTGAGTTATTATGTACAGAGTACCTGGAACAGTGCCCGGAGTAACAATTCTTGATTGAATGATTCTACATTAATAGTAATAGAGATATTATTAAATTAACAAAAAGCATCATATGGAGGTGTTCAGGCATTAATTCTAAAATCCTGAGAAACAGGAGATAGATTGAAAAAAAGGACAATAAGCTATAGGTCTGGGCAGGATCTTTAGAGAAGTCAATGAGGAGGAGTAGTAAGAGGAGGGGGAGGAAGAGTTGAGGAGGAGATGGGGATGAGGATGAAGATGGGGATGAGGACAAAGCCACCCCAGCATTAACCAGGCGGGCGTGATCTGGACTGTGCCACGGCGCTTTGCATGCCTTACCTCATTTAACCTCAAAATCCCCTTGGGGTAGTTACTGTTACTAACATCCTTTTACCGATGAGGACACAGAGATGTGGCGAGGTTGAGGGGCTCGACCACGGTCCAGCACAAGGGCCTCCCCCAGCAGAAGCCGGGCTGTGCGGCCAGGAGCCTATGTGGCTTCCTCTTCCTCCTGCTCAGCCTGGATGCCCGGAGCAAGGTCTTAGCTCTCAGCTGCTTCATCCCGCCTTATGACCTTTCCACCTCCTCCTTTGGTCAAAAAAGTGAAAGTCATGTCCTTCACATTATCTGCATAAAATTGTCCAGTGGATTCTTTTCTTAAACAAATCAGCACGTCCTGTGTAATATTCTGGAAAACCCCCCAAATTTTGTGCCTTAATGGGGCGACTCCTTTCACACACGCTCCTGGGCCCTCACAGCCCCCAGGCGAAGCAGGGGGCTTTTCTAATACCCAATTTGAGATATGAAAAGCAGTCTCAAGAGGGTAAACAGTTTGATCCATCTAATACCACTGCTTCTCCAGGGATTCAGGCCCAGGTCTGGGGCTTCCTGAAACCCTCGCACTGCTTTCCTTCTCTCCAGTGCCGCCAGCCTCCACCTTCCCAGTGTGAGCACCTGGGAAGAATCACAGGTGTGCAGGGAGGGGGCAGGCGAGCGAGGGGATGGAGGGGCAGAGCCATCTACTGTGTGACCGCCTGCCCTGTGACATAAGCAGTGTGCCTAAGCTAAACCACATTCACTCCTTTCTTCCCCATTCCTCCGTGATGTACTGTTCCCCTTCCTGCCCTGGGTAAGGAGGCTTGTACTTTGGTGACAGTCCTGGGTTTTAAATGGCTGATTAAGGAGAGTTCTTTCACGAAGAGCCGCTAACGGCTGTGGCCATCTAGCTGTGAAAGCGATTATAAGCACTTAGCCAAGGGTACTTGGTGTGCCTGCTGTTTCCTTTAAGGCTGTAAACAGTGCCTGGGAGGGTGTGGAGGAAAAAGAAGATGGTTTGGGGAAAATGCTTCATTCAACATCCCTGTTGGGTTTTTATTGAATTACCCCAATAAGCGCTTATTTCTGCTGAGCCAGGCGGTCCACCTGCACTGCTGTTCCCTCCCAGATCTGCATCATCATGATGAACTTGTACCTGTGTGGTGATGAACTTCACAGCAGGTCAGCTTCCTGTCTGCCTGGGTGGGTGGGAGGAAATACCTCTTCCCCCTGGGGTGGCAAATTATTTGTGTGGTAATTAGAAGACTACTTCCTGGCAGCAAAACACCTACCTGCTTTCCGCCCAACCCACGGGGCTTTTAAGAGGGAAAGAGCTGGGGTGGGGTTTTGGCAGAAGGCACATTGCTGCTCTGGTCTCCGAGGAGCCACATGCCCAGCATAACTGTCCAGTCAGCGCGGTCAGCGCGGGTCAGGCCAGGGCCAGGCCTCTGGAGGGCATTCCCATCCTAACAGACCTGGAGCCCGTGGGGTGTTGCTGGCCTGGGCGGCAGGTGGCAGAGAAGGGAGGTGTCGCCACCATGAGCAAGTGCCAACCCCACCCCCCACCCACCTCTCCCCTGGCAGCTCCTTGCCCCTGGGGGAACAGTGCCCCAAGAAACAACTCCTTATTGAGTGTTTCTACATTCATAATAATGATACTATTAAATTAACAAAGAGCATTATGTGGAGGCATTCAGGCATTCTAAAATATTGAATTTAGGTCAACAATCTCTGTGCTGGGAGGGGCTGTGGGAGCCAAGCAGAGGCACTGCCCTGAGAAAAGTTCAGGTTGGGGACTGTGGTCTCTCACCTCCTGCATCCACACTTCCTTGCCCTTCCTGAGAAGGCCTGGAGCACACCCTTCCTGACTCCAGCCTGGGGCCTAGCCAGTCTGAGTTGAGCCATGAGGCGACAGCTGCCTGCCCCGAACAGGAAGGTCGCAGAGCACGCGGGGCAGGAAAGGTGGCAGGCACGCTGTGAGGCGTCCCAGGGCTGCTGGCTCTGGTCCGGTGTCTGAGCTTTGCCAGCCAGGGGCGAGAGTTAATTTTAAAGGAAGAAGGGGAGGGAATCAAGATAGCCCTGACGCCTCGCTTCCTGAACTTCCCTTCCGTACCAGGCCTCTTCAAGAGGGAGAGCCCGTCTGCCTCCAGGACAGCCTTTGATATCAGGAGAAACAAGCAGCCCACCAATTCTGCCCGGCCCTATGTCCAAGTAAAGCCCTTTCGCCTGCTCGCCACGGCCAGAAATGCCTTTGACTGGAAACATCCCTTTCCTCGAGTTAGAAGTTACACGGGGGCGGAGATGCAAGGGTGAGCTTTTGTCGGCTCCTGAAAGCGGCTTTTGGCCTCTTCTCAGCTCTGCTGAGAGGTCAGCAGGTTATCTCCAGGCACTCAAGCCTTTGGCCTTTTATATGAGTCTGAGGATGACAGTCAGCAGAGATGTTGTCTGGACCTGGTGGAGGGGAAGGAGACGAAATTAAGGCATGTTTGTGAGATGACTGTGTGGGCGTAAGGGAAATGGAAGAGCTGGGGGTGGCTCTCGGGTTTCAGGCTTGTGTCATCGAGTGGAAGGGCTCACCAAAAATTGAGACAGAAAACACAGGAGAGGTGAAGACATCAGGGCCGGTCATGGACTCAGGGAGGCTGAGTGCCTGTGGGAGACCTGCTGGGGATGCCCGTCCAGCCATTGGATGGTCACTTCGGAAGCTTGGGCAAGAGGTGGGAGCTGAAGATAAAGGTATTGGCCGTGTATTTGTGGAGGGTGAAATCCAGAAAGTGAGGAAGAGTGTTCGTGAGAAGAGCCATAAGCTGAGAATAGGACCCTGGGGAAACCCACAGAGAAGAGCCTGAGGTGTGGACAGGACAATTCACTGCTGGTGAATAGGGTATCATTGTTTAAAGGAGGGTGATTCAAGTGAAGGTGAAGGAGAGCATGTCGTTCCCAGGGGAGCTTTTTTCAGTTGGTCTGTGTAGAAGAAATCTACAGAAGTAAATCATGTTCAGATTTCTTGCTAATTGTAAGGAAAGTGGGTGCAATGATTATGTCCTCATTTAAGGCTTATGGAGATGTGTTAGGAAATTGCATATGGGCTCCTCACGCCTCACCAGTTCTCAGTACTTAAACCTGCTGGAAGCAGCCCTCAGAGCTCGGCCAGCCCCCTGCCCTCCAGCCTTGGGGTGGTTCTCCCCAGTTTCCCCTTTTCCTGCTGCTCTGCAAATAAGCGCAGCTGTGCCCTTCCCTTGGTTAGCCTGTGTTATGTGATAAACTAATACAGTCATTTTTAACATTCAGATAGTCCAGTCATAGGTAAATCCCCTTCCTATCCAGGGTCCCGATCCTCAGTCCTTTCCCACCCCACCCTGCAAAGTAAGCCCTCTTCCAGGTGTCATGTCTATACAGCATCCTTCAGGAAATATTGGCCTGTGGACCAGATTCAGCCAGCTGCCTGTTTTTGTAAATAAAGTTTTATTGGAACAGAGTCACGCACACTCATTTATACATGATCTGTAACTGCTTTCCCACGACAATGGCAGAGTTGAATAGTTGTGACAGAGAAGGAAAAAGGTTGCCAGCATGTGCTCTGTGTGTGGGCTCCTGCGTATGCATAATCCTTTTTGGACACACATGTCAACTCACTGTACGCTGATCTGCATGTTGCTTGTTTCTGTTGATTCACAGTCTGTGGTGGGAATTGTTCCACATGGGCATGGTGCGAGTGCACTTAATCGGTGCCAGGTGGGACGTTTTAGTGATCTTCAGTGAACAGATAACACTGCGGGGAACCTTCTTGTGCACACGCCTTCTTTGCACACACATGAGCCCATCTTGGTGGGTTGGTAAACTGACAGATGCTGCCAAACCAGGGTCGTCTTCACACGCCCACCCTCCCCACCTACTCTCAACGAGAGTCAGGCTCTTTTCATTTTTCATTAAGGGCTAAATTGCTAATCCCTATGAGGAAATGGGGGCTAACAAAATTTTTAAAATAAGGGAAATGTGCAAGCTTACTAAATTTGTATACTCTGTACAAAATTTTACAGCATTTAATATTTACTGTAGCTCCTCTGGGTGTCTGCCCACTGCTCTCATTTCTGAAGGGAGGGTTTCTTAGTCCATGCAGGTGGTTATAAGAGAACGCCACAGGCCAGCTGGCTTATAAACAACACAAATGTATTTCTCACAGTTATGGAGGCTGGGAAGTCCAAGATCAAGGCTCCAGCAGATTCTGTGCCTGGGAGAGCTCTCCTCCTGGTTCATAGACAGCAGTCTACCCACTGTGTCCTCACACGGTGGAAGGGGCGAAGGAGCTGCTGGGGTTTCTTTTATAAGGGCACTAATCTCAATCATGTGGACTCCACTCTCATGACCTAATCACTTCCCAAAGCCCCACCTCCTAATACCATCACCTTGGGGGGCAGGTTTCAGCTTGTGAACTTTGGGGAGATGCAAGCATTCAGTCTCCGGCAGTGGGACTCGCTGGGCTTTCCCCATTTGACTTCAGACCCAGATCTAATCAGGATCTGAAGGGAGAGTCAAGATGGATGTTCCTTTTAGCCTCAGGTGGGTCATTTGCATTTGCAAGAACCTCTTGAGGACATCCAGTTTTCTAGACCTCTGCCCAAACTAGGGTCATCCCTCTCCAAATATGCTAAGCAGAAATACAGACAAGATAGTTCGTACCTGTATTTTAGGAGCTAACATTGTTCTTCATCCTATTTGATAACCAACATCTCTCAAATTTAGGTATAATTAGCACGGAGTACCAGGAAATACAACCGTTCTGCATATTTCCATTTCCTTATTTCTGGATTCTTTGAAGTGCAAGAACCTTGTTTTAATCATCATTGGGCCGAGCATTCTGTCTGGCATGTGGTAGGCACCCAGTGGATGCCTGTTGAGCTGAACTAAATTTCTTTTAATACTTTAGCTGAATTATTCCTTTGTTCTTTTATAGAATGAAGACATTTAAATGTTGCTTTAAATACCACCTGCGCCAGAAAGTGTTCATCCTGCTTCTAACCCTATGGCTCTTCTCCTTGTTGAAGCTTCTCAATGTGAAAAGACTCCTCTTCCCGCAAAGGGGCATTTACTTGGTTGAGTACTCCCTAAGTACCTCGCCTTTTGTGAGGAACAGATACACCCATGCGAAGAATGAAATCGGATATGAGATTAACTGTTCGGGTGTCTATGAACAGGAGCCTTTGGAAATCGGCAAGAGTCTGGAAATAAGAAGAAGGACCATCATCGACTTGGATGATGACGATGTCGTGGTGATGACCAGTGACTGTGACATCTACCAGGCCCTACGAGGCTATAAGCAGAAGCTTGTTTCAAGGGAGGAAGAACGCTTCCCGATAGCCTATTCCCTGGTTGTTCACAAGGACGCCATTATGGTCGAAAGGCTAATCCATGCGATATACAACCAGCACAATATTTACTGCATCCATTATGACCGTAAAGCAACGGATACCTTCAAAGTGGCCATGAACAATTTAGCTAAGTGCTTCTCCAATATTTTCATCGCTTCCAAATTAGAGACTGTGCAGTATGCACACATTTCCCGACTCCAAGCTGATTTAAATTGCTTGTCAGACCTTCTCAAGTCTTCAGTTCAGTGGAAATATGTTATCAACCTGTGTGGGCAGGATTTTCCTTTGAAGTCAAACTTTGAATTAGTGTCAGAGTTGAAGAAACTCAATGGATCAAATATGTTAGAGACAGTGAAACCCCCTAACACTAAAACAGAAAGATTCACTTATCACCATGAGCTCAGACAGGTGCCTTATGAGTATGTGAAGCTGCCCACGAGGACAAACATCTCCAAGGGCGCCCCCCCTCATAACATCGAGGTCTTTGTTGGCAGTGCTTATTTTGTTTTAAGTCGAGCATTCGTTAAATATATTTCCAACAACTCCCTCGTTAAAGACTTTTTTGCCTGGTCTGAGGACACATACTCGCCGGATGAGCACTTCTGGGCCACCTTAATTCGGGTACCAGGAATTCCCGGGGAGATTTCTAGGTCAGCCCAGGATGTGTCCGACCTACAGAGTAAGACCCGCCTCGTCAAGTGGAATTATCTTGAAGGCCTTTTCTATCCCTCTTGTACTGGTTCTCACCTCCGAAGCGTGTGCATCTACGGAGCAGCAGAATTAAGGTGGCTTATCAAAGATGGACATTGGTTTGCTAATAAATTTGATTCTAAGGTGGACCCTGTCTTGATTAAATGCTTGGCGGAAAAGCTTGAAGAACAACAGAGAGAGTGGATCACTTTGTCTTCAGAAAAGTTCTTTATGGCTAAAAGCCCCACAACCGCATCATGATACAATCATGATGGAAATAAGGTGTCTGGTAAATGGAGTTAGTATGCAATTGTATGCTACACCATGGCCAGTACCACTTGAGTTTAACCTCCTCACGATCTGAAAGGTGTCTAAAGTTCCATGCACCAGGGAACGTGACCGGGCCTTTGGTGACAATTAACTTGCAGTGGGTTGGGTGTTTTTATGTTTGCTTTTGCTTGTAATCTCACTGAGCTAAATCAGAGATTTTAAACAGTCTGTCATCGGATAGCTATTGAGTTCCTGCTGTAGGCCAGGCACTGTTCTAGAAACGTGTAGGAAATAAACCTAAGTTGTAATGAGTTACATGGTGCCCTCGAGGAACTGTGGCTTAGCCTCATCACACAGCAACCTCAGTATCTTAACTTCTCCACGTAACAGTCAGGGTTCTACTGAAGAGGTTTTGGAGCATGTGGCAATTCTATAACAGGGCTAACCACCAATTTCAGAGTGGCGTTTAAGTACAGGGACCAGCATTCCACTTCCTAACTCCCTAGACTTCTCTTAACCAATAGAGGATTAGAAGGAGAGACCATACTACCTCAGAAGAGCTCAAAGAACTGTCCCGTTCCCTGCTTGCCAAAGCCTCACCTCCGTCGTGGTGCCTCATTCATTCCATTCAAGGTCAGGGGACTGTTGGCAGGGCTCTGGAGTGTGTGACTGTTAGCGAGGTGGTGGGGGTGAGCAGGGGGTTTGGGACAGGAGGTGCCTGAAGAGGGACAAAAAAATTTGTACAGGGAGGGAGGGGATAGCTCAGTGGTAAAGTGTGTCCCTGGGTTCAATCCCCAGCACCTCCATTAAAGTAAACAAATAAATAAATAACCTAATTACCTGCCCCCAACCCCCAAAAAAAGTAAGAAAAAATTTTTTAAAAGATTTAGATGACTTTTCCATCATGTTACACTGTGGTGTCATGAATGGCCTCCTTTTGAATTCGGCTGTTTCTTTAAAACACATTTACGGATTAAAAATAAAAACTGATTAACAAATTCACAGCTTCACACGCTAGACCATTCAGCCTAAGTCTTTCAATTCGTAGATTATCATGATATGTAAGTTTTTAACAGTGGAATCAGCGTAATTTTGTTTTGTGGAACTATCAAGCTAAGAAGTCACTGAGTTTTCTTGAAAAGGTTGGGTAAAATAAGGCAGCTTTCTAAATTAACTATTGAGGTTATTAGAAAATGTTTCCTCTCCAGCAACTGTCAGGTGGAGTCCAAATGTAAAATTATAAGAGCTCTAAGTTCATTGCGGTCTTTTCAGCTTTGATCCAAGAGAGAAAGCTCATTTTAGGAAGGACACTGAGAGGATATTCATTAATAATATTTTGTAATACCAGCACCTTAGAAAACCACCAAATGAGTCAAAATACACATATATTTTCATGTAACTGTTGTGCTGGAAGTGAAATGGGACAGGAGTGGGATCCTGAGGACAGGCTACAATATTGTTACGTCTCTTGGGAAATCATGGAACTCATGGGAAAATTTCTCAGCGATCTTAGGTTTCAGTAACTACGTAAAGATGTAGTCATGAAGGCCAGCATGAGACTGTTCGGAAGACTGAAGTATTCAAATGTGTTTTTAAACATCTGTGTTCTACGTGTGAAATGCATTTTGCTCATTTTAAAGTTTATGATGACTGACTGCCAAATGGTACCACTTCTCTCTCCCTTTCTTCTTCTCGTGAATGCATTTGTTTTCCCTTTTTTTCCCTACCTGCTTCCAATCACCTGTTCGTTGGTGTGTGTGACCGTGACAAGCTAATCACGTTGGTCTCCAGGGCCTCAGTTTTCCTGGTCTATAAAGTGTGCGCTTGGAGGTGTCCTGGCTTCCTTACATGTTGATATGTAAGAATCAATTGAAATAATATCGGAAGTGGTTTGAAAATAGGGACAACTGATTGAAATATCAGTGAGCAGTCTTATTACGAGACAGACATAGATCCAACCCCCTTGTAACACTTAACCATTTCCCTTTTCTGAAAAACCTTTGAAATACAAAAAGAAGGCACAATTGCAGAGGCAACTTCTGTAATGGAATCCAGGTACCAAGAAACCTTGTCACCACATTTGGGTTGTTTTCTCTTTCTAATTGAAATATAGTTGATTTACAATGTTGTGTTAGTTTCTAATGTACAGCATAGTGATTCAGTTTATATATACATATGATTCTTTCTAAGCCAGCAGGATTAGCAAAGTGGTCCAGTGGCTTAGATCAGGAATAGGGGCAGAAATACTTTTCCTACCATCCAGGCTTAAATACCCAAAGTCCTGTTCAAATCTTGTTTTTTATGCTGTTGGTAGTTAGAATGAATGTAAATGCCAAAAAATGGTCCAGTGTCTTGCCTCTAGGTGAGAAATGATTCTATCCCTTGTTTATTGGGAAATTTTCTGGTTAATGGCTTTAATGCCATATTCAGATGACATGTGGCTCCATGAAGAGGTGGCAGTGCCTTCTTTCCATGGACACATTTCTTGGGATTCAATCCCTAACATTTCAGGGAGCTTGTCAGATCACTCTCCTGCCTTGGGAATCCTGTCGATTCCCTGCATGCCTTCAGACCTCCTTCAAACCTGATTCTTCCCTAAAACCTTTGGTATGATTGTCTCTAGTCTAGAGAATGTTCTGCTGTCTGTGTTTTGTAATTATTCTTTACATAGTATTTATTGAATCTCGACTCTAAGTTATTTGGCAATGAGACCAGGACCTTGGAGTTTGTAAATTATATTAGATAATATTAATAGTGAGAGAGCTACCCAAATAGATCTACCTGATGTGAAAAAAATCTAATATTATAATATTTAAAGACCTGTGTTGCTGCTATTTTTAATGGTTTGATTATTTTAAGTGAAATATATATATAAATAAAATGTTTAAATTTAGGGAGTTTAATTTGAAGATTTCTTTTGCCTTCCAGAATGTGAATATTATACATACATATATATTTTGACGTATTGCATAGAAAACAGAAATGACAATCTTTAAGACAGAAAAGTGAAAGTACCCAAGTATGTTATAACTGTTTTTGTTGGTGGTGATGATGGAATGAATTTTGATTTTGTCAACTGGTCTCTAAATCTCTTACTAGTCTTGTTTGGTTTTATCATTTTTGAAAGACATATTTCCCATTAAATGAGTTTTAAGTAGAATGGTGTTGCATTTTTGGATTATGCTGCCATTAGATGCTAATTCTCCAACACTGTAAAATAAAATGGGCTGCAACAACCTATCCCCTGGCATTTATGATGTTTCCTTTTACTGGTTGTACTGGTTCCCCACAAAGACTCTTTCAGTTGACGACACTTGCCCAGTATTTGAAGAGCACAGTTAATTTCACTTCAGAATTAAAAACAAACAAAAAATTCAGTGTGTGTACTCTACACAGAATATAGGCACACAAACTTGAATTCATTTGGCAAGGTCTCAAAGAATCTTCCAAGATTTCTCTGTCTTCATTCTCCTCCAGATTGGTTTCTCCTTGACGATTAATTATCTAGATAAATCTTGTTTACTTGATTACTTCTAGGAAGTTTGTTCTCAATAGCGTATGTTGAGCTCTTTATCTCACATCCCTCAACCCCTGGAAAATCCAGACTCTTTCTGCACCAGGACGCCTGCCTTGGTTGTGAGCCCCGAGGACACGAGGACCCTGGCTCCGCTGGTATCTCAGGCTCCGCTGCTGAGTGATTCTGGGTGAGCTTCCCTCTGCTGGGGTCACACCACCTAATCCAGCTCTCCTAAACCGAGGTGTATCTGTCATCACTGATCCTCACGCCCCCACCCCTGCTCTGACAGTCAGTTTTCTTCTGTCACCCTTTTCTTCTTGTCAGCCATAACAGTCACCAGCCTTCCTGGCTGGCAAAGAGTATGCATGTCACACTCATAAGTCACAATCCATCTCAAGGAGTAAAGCCATTTTGGAAAACTTTAACATAAACAAATTAACATCTACTTTAACCTAAGGTTAATTCTAGGTCTTAACCAAGCTGGACAACCATGCAAATCCACAGTCATCTCATGAAAGAATTTTGGCTGACTTTGGTGGTGATGGTGGTGGGGTGGGTAGGTGTGCAGTGTCATATTGAAGACTTACAGGCTCGATTCCCAGATAAGTAATTCCATATTTTTAAAATTCCCTTTGGTGTCAACAAGTCTGCCTCTAAACTAGGACAACTGGCTTCTAGTTTCATGAAACTGATTATGAGGAAACCCTGGCAAGAGAGAATAGATAATTGCAAATTTTATTCCTACTGCTGGGAGAAAATTCCTATGATGCAGCATAACAAACCATTTGAGCTTTGCTTCAGAGACAGATGAGTGTGTCAGCCCACGAGGGTGCATGAAAACCACAGGAAGACGATTGACCTGAGCTCAGGAATGGCCTTCACAGAGTCGCACCATCCTTCCTAGGAGCATCTTGGACTGAGTCACAGAGGACAAATCGCCAGCTAAGAATCTGAGAAAAAATCATGCTCAGTGACCTGGGTACATTTATTATACCTTTTTGGTTTTGCTCCTGTTTCTTATAGAACAATAAAGGAAATTTAAACAGAAACCATTTGGATTTATATTTCTAACATCCTGACCAAGCCATATAGTTCTCTGAATGCTCTTTTAATCTTATCCATATACATTTTTTGTCTCTTCCCACTGCCAGTGTATTTCCAGTCACTCTCCCATGTTGCTACATGATCTTTACGGTATCGAATGGCCACACCATCATTCACTCAGCCCTTCCTTTATTGTAGGACATTTGGATTGTAAACTACTTCTTTCTGTCGTAAAGGTGCTTTATACAGAAAAGCTTCTCTTTTCCTTCAGTCACTTCCTTATGATGTATTTCTAAGGAATGACAATCCTGAAGAGGATGGATTTCTTTTTTAACTTACTGCTTGTCACATATGCTGTGAATCCCCCTCTCAAGGAGCTGTATAGGACCCTGGGCTGTGTATATCAACCGCAGCCTCAACCGATGTGAAATAAGTTGTATTTATTTATTCTGATCAATTGTCATTTTGATTCTCAAAGGTAAGCAAAGACCTTTGCCTAAAGCAAGGATGTAGCCGTTCCTCTAACAGATCAGAGAAGGTGTTTAATGTATGGTGAGTGGCGAGCTCTTTGAGAAAAGTATTCTCAAAGGTTAAATTTTGATGACCAATTCCATTCCAGGAAGGATCTAAAAGCTGCTGGTTCCTTCCAATATCCATTCTCCCTGGTTTCTGTGGTTTTATTCTGAGCAACAGTAGGACCAGATAATTCCTAGCCCTCCTTTTGTTAACCAAAGTTTCAGAAATGGAGACCTGTGTGAAATAAAGAGGCATTTACTGAGGACTCGTTAGGGCTGTAGTCGGGGAGACACAGATTCAAGAAGCACTTGATTTATGTTCCGCCAGACTACAAAATGAGGGAGGCTTATCAGGGCAAGAAAACCACAAGTTTACATAAATTGTTTTCATGAATTAGGATTGGAGCTGGCAAGAAGGAAGAGTGCTTGTTAAGCAAGGGTTTGTTGGGGTCTGACATGATTACATAATTGTAAAGGACTTTGAAATGACAAGGTTGCAGCTAGGAGCTCCTAGCAGATAATGCTTTTAAAATGGCAGGTGGTGTCCTTGAGTTTGATACAGTTCAGAGAAAATTCAAGTTCTCAGTGATGTAGGAGATCGTCTCAGACAACATCCATGGTGGCCACCAGCTCCACTGTGGATGCCTGAACCACAGTTACTCTGTTTTGATCTTTAAAATGTCATCACTTTCAACTAGAGGTGGCAAATGAGAAAAAGCAGAAGTTATTGCATGGGGCATCTGAGAATGCACATAAAATGTGGCTTACCCATCTTGGCTTCCCCCGCCTCCCTTACATTTTCTCACTGCCTGGACAGTGTTTGTAACAGCTGGAATTTCAGCAGCCATTTTAAAACCATGAGGATGCAAGTTATAAGGCAAGCATAGACCAAAAATATGACACTTGAACCATCCCAAACTGCCTACCTCCAGTTTTCTTTTATGGGAGGAAAAAAACTAACATGTGCTTTAAGCTACTATTATCTCAGTTCTCTGTTACTAACCGCTGAATGTGAACCCTAACTTACACAACTTTTCTAGAACGGCAGTTTTCAAACTTTGCCCCAGAGGGCTTGTTAAAACACAGATTGCTCTTCTTCCCCCTCCCCCTCTTTTGAAGTGGGGTTGGGTGGGGGTGGGGGGTGAGGGAAAGGAGAATTTGCCACTTGAACAAATTCCCAGATGAGGCTGATGCTGTTCTGGGCACACTTTGAGAAACCACTGTTAGAGTATATTTCCTGAAAATTATTTCTCCCACATTGTAAACATTAGGCCAAACATTGCAATAAACATACATACCTTCAGATCCTAAAACACTGGGCTCAGAAGTCCAGAAATGTTGTATGCGCTTCGCCTTACATGCTTTCTTTGCATTTTTGAAGAGCTAGTTATCTATATTTTCTGAATAATGACCGAAGTTGATGCCTTTCCCTAACTATAGTTCCTCTTAAAGTTATTTTCAACCATATTGCTGCCTTATTTGGGGCTGTTTTATAAAACGTATAAAAACAGACGAATTTAACCTGAAGTGGTAAAGTCTCAAGTTCAGACCTATGTGTTAATCCTGTTAAAGATACATGCTGGGGAGGCGGGCTCTACCCAGATGGAATTTGGCATGAGCATTTTAATCCGAACAAACACATCGAAACAGAGAGCCTTGCCATTCTACCTCTCCGCTTTTCCGAGCCGTTACAGGAATGTCAGTATGAAATAGATACAGTTATGTGTCATCTCATAAATGCTTTCAGGTTTTTACTTCAACCATGGGTGGATACTCAAAAAAATCTGAGTTTGCTGAGTTTCAGCAAAATGTATCTGCCTAAGGGAAATGTGTTTCCATTTTTTAGAGTATTTTTAATTATTTTGTTTTGAATAGCAACATGGAACAGGGAAGTTTCTTTGTAATTTTTTCACCCATTACTTAATGTAGTCCTAGTGGTCACTGATTATCAGGGTCATTATTAATCCAGTTTTACAGATAGTTTCACGAACTGTCGGTGAGGAGACCACTTGTACAGGAAAAGGGAATCCAACGTGGAAAGAGTGAAAGGGATCCCCAGGGTGCTGGTGAAGGGCCATCCCAGGATGCCAGCTGGGTGCCAACGGGGCCATGGCCGGCTCAGACTGGAGTCGGTCAGGCAGGCCAGAGAGCTTTAGATATTTTTTCAAGATGATCAATGTGTGGAATACCTCATAAATCTGAATGCATGATTTAGAGGCAAGTTAGACCATTGGAGAATTAGGGACTGAATGGATGTCTATGGGAAAAAAACTGTGAACTCAAGGAGAACAAAGAGTTGTACAGCTGTGGCTCAGCCGGAGATGCTGCTTACATAGTCATAACCATAATGTTAACCATGTAATATTTAACCAGGTAAATGCTAACTGTTGACCTAATCAGCGGGGTGCTGATAAAACTTACTGGGAACTTGGGGAGACAGAAAGGGTGAATACGTGGGGTGGGGAGGGTGGGTGTGTGTGACAGCATCACAGTCCCCTTCCGTGATGGGACTCCACAGACGATGCCTAGAACTGAAACAGCAAGCATAGCAGCGTAAGGCCGTCATTCAAACACAGGCCAGTGAAGCCAAAAGGACGGGTTCAGAGGGTTGAAACCAGTTTCTTCTGAGCAAAGGAAATGGGGGAGGAGATGGAAACTGCTGTTTGTTTTCAACAACCCTTGCAGCTCCATAAACTTTAAATAAAAACGGGAGAAGTGGGTGGTGGTGGTGGGGAGGCACTGGGAAGGAAGAAGACACCATCTGTGGTCAAAGAGTGATTGCAATCTAACAGTGTGTGCAAATAACCAGAAACCTTATAAGGGTAGCTATTGTTACTGTCTGCCCAGCCCTCCCCCCCGGTCCCCTCCCGAGTCTTCAGAAAGCAGCCCTCCTGGTAACAGAGGTGGTCATTATGGGCCCTCACAGCCACAGTGGCCTAACGCAGGGGGCACATGACCTAAGATAGGCCAGTCAGGGTTCCTGGAACTTTCCAAATTCCTGCCCGGGCATAACAACCTCTTGTTCCTCTCTGATCACAAAACCCAAGGATATGGGCCCAGTTGCCCCACATCTGGACAGGTTTGTACCAGCCAATGAAGTGAATGTGCCAAAAGGAACAGAGAAGAAGTCGAGGACAAAGAGGGTCCTCAAGGTATTCAAGGCAGTGAATCCAATCTTTGCTGAGACCAGCCCTGCCCTCTCACCAGTTACACAGTCCAGTTAAAGCCCTCCTTTTGTTTAAGCAAGATTGATTCCACAATAGTCATAAATACTAATATACAGTTGAAAACCACCAAACAAAACTTTAAAAAAATTTTATTATGGAAAGTTTCAAACAAACACAAAATGGCATCATGAATTCCCACCTTCCATCCCCCAGACTCACGACTATTAACATTTTGACAGTTTTGTTTCATCTGTATATCCCTCCACCCTTTTTTTCCTTAGAAATATTTTAAAAGAAAATCCCAGACTTTATATTATTTTACTTAGCCCCCGCACCCTACCTGTGCTTTATGTGCTGGTCCTGGTGAGAAGTCAGGTGCCAGATAGAAGATTGTTTTGTTCATATTTAAGCCAAATGGAATGCTGTTTTTATAGGTCAAAAGTGGCCAAATATTGGCAATATTAGATGGCTAATGCTTCAATATGAATCTACTCTAATCGCTAAGGATTCTTTTTTTTTTATAAAACCATCAGCCATTATCACACTCAGCACAATTAACAATTCCTTCATACCTAACACTGAGTTAATTTTCACATTTTCCCAATTGTATCAAATATGTTTTTGTATCCGCCATTTGTTTAAATCAGGATCCAAACAAGGTCTGCACATTGATTTGGTTAAAATAAGTTTTTGAAGTGTTCTCACTGTCAGTTGGCACTCTTGTAGGAGCCTAGAGAGGTGCCATGGAATGGTGAGCAATCCTCAAACAGGAAAAGTCCGAAGAATCAGGTCCCAGCTCCTTGTGTCTGTTATTAGTATACACGCCTATTAAATAATGTACCATATATACACGTGCACATGCGTATGTGTACATATCTCACTGTGCCAGGCCTGGTGCTCTCTGCTTCACATCCTTTCTGCTTTTATCCTTATGAAGTGGTTGCCAGTATCATTCTTGTTTTGTAGGTGAGGAAGGACCCCATGGAGGTCGGCTGACTTGCCCCCATCACCAGCTAATAAGTGGCAGAGCTGTGGTTGGAATTTAGGTGTGTGCTCCAAAGTCCAAGCTCTCAGCTGCTGCACCCGCTCTGTGCTTTATGCTCCAGCCCTGGTGACCAGTCAAGTGCCAGGCGCATGGCTGTTGTTATTTTATTCCACAAAATACTGAGATCTTGTAGGGAAGAAGGGACCCAGAGCTTGTGGAGGTAAACAGTAAGCCAGGGTTGAAGGACCGCATCCATGTGACTCAGGGGGGTCGGGGATCTGGGACCATCCATTGCATCTCCTCTCTCCCTAATCGTCCTCGCCCAGGCATTCCTGTTG